TTTCGGCGTTATGGGGGCCTCCCAATTAAAGACGGTGAGAACACAAGAACAGGCAGCGGGAGCGGAGGAGGAGGAGGAGGAGGAGGAGGCGGCGAAGGAGGAGGTGCGGGGACCAAAAGTACAGAAACTTAAACTTTAGTGATATATATACATATATATACCTATACGACCACCCTGCGGGTGATAAGGAGGTGAGGGGGGAGGGGGAACCAACGTCTCACTCAATCGATCTCGCTATCGATCTCACATTCGGTCTCACATTCGGTCTCACAATCGGTCTCACATCGGGACACCATCATCATCATCATCATCATCATCATCATCATCATCATCATCATCATCATCATCATCATCATCATCATCATCATCATCATCATCATCATCATCATCATCATCATCATCATCATCATCATCATCATCATCATCATCATCATCATCGGGACACCATCATCATCAACATCATCATCATCACCATCATCAACATCATCATCAACATCCTCGTCATCGGGACACCATCATCATCAACATCATCAACGTCATCATCATCATCACCACCATCATCATCACCATCATCACCATCATTATCATCATCACCATCATCATCTCACAATCGATCTGACTATCGATCTCACAATCGATCTCACTATCGATCTCAAAATCGATCTCACATTCGGTCTCACTACCGATATCACAATCGATCTCGCAACGACGTCATCATCATCATCATCAACATCAACATCATCAACATCATCATCATCATCATCATCATCATCATCATCATCATTACCATCATCATCATCACCATCATCATCATCATCATCATAATCATCATCATCATCAACATCATGATCGGGACACCGACGGGACACCGACGGGACACCGGCGGGACACCGGCGGGACACCGCGCGCCACCGGCCGCCCGGTGGAGAATCATTTGGTCCGGCCGCGCCTCAGCCACAGAGGACACCACCGGGACACCGGCGGGACACCGCGCGCCACCGGCCGCCCGGTGGAGAATCATTTGGTCCGGCCGCGCCTCAGCCACAGGAGACTTTCCTCTCGCCCGCCCACGCAGCTTCGCCTCGCCCGCACGCACGGCACGCACGAACACGAAACCGAAATCGATTTCCCGGTAGGGGGGCTCTCTGTTCCACTTCGATCTCACCCCCTCACCTCCGATATATATATATATATATACACACACAAGACTGCATTGGCGCTTCGCGTCATGCGCCTTGTTCCGGACGCTTCCCGGACAAACAATAAGTCATCGCGCGTTTCAGCAGAGGGGGCGTCGAGACCACGAATACGACCACGATCACGAGGACCACCGCCACCATCAGCGCCACCACCATCACAACCACAACCACCACCACGACGACGACGACGACGCCGACGACAAGAACGACGACGACGGCGACGATGGGGCTCTCGTCTGAACTGCAGATGGGGCGCTCGTCTCTCGAGGGCCTCTGGAAGCTCCCGATGGGACCAGAAGCGCTCAGAAACTTGGCCCCTCCTCGTCGTCGTCGTCCTCCTCCTCCTCCTCCTCCTCCTCCTCCTGCTCCTCCTCTCGGGCAGGCCGCGGGAGCGAGCGCTCCGGGCGTCAGTAAGCGGGCTATGCAATAATGAGTCGGCAGCCCGCGATGACAAGCCGAGACCTCCTGCTCCTCCGTAGGACGACGACGACGACGACGGCGGCGACGACGATTGGTCGCTTCCTGAATGCCTGGAGGGGTCCTGGACGCTTGTGGGCCTTCTGAGGTTTCGAACCACCGTTCTGCGAACTACGGCCTCGTGGAGTGTAAAAGAACTGCTGGAAGCTATATTGGAACGGTGTGGGCTCGCGTTTGAGCTCCTGGTGACTCTCCAGACCAGAGGACTCTTTTGGGGGCTATTTTGGGCCGTCTTGGAGCCCTCTTGGGCCGTCCCGGAACCCTCTTTTGGCCGTTTTGGGAGGCCGGGCCGGCCAAGGGCTTTTCGGGGGCCCTCTTGGGACACTCTTGGGGGCTTCCTGTGGATCTCTTGGGGCTCTCTTGGGAGTTCTCGGGGCCCTCTGGGGCCCCTCTGGGGCCGCCTTGGGCTTATCGTGATCAGTCTTGGAGCTCTTTTGGGCCGCCTTGGGCCGCTCATAGAAGCTTCGGAGGCCGTTCTGGGGCGATCGGAAAGTCTCTGGGGATGCCGTGGACGCTGCGAAAGCGAAAAAAACTAATATCTTCAAAAGCGTACGTTTCCTCATGGAATGGGGCGATTTCTGGCTCTTGGGGATTCCTTTTAGGGCCTCTTGGACCGTCTTGGGGGCCTCGTGGGCCGTCTTGAAACCATAGTGGGTCCTCTTTGAGCGCTGATGGGCCGTCTTGGGGCCCGTTTTGGGCCCGTGGGCTCCGATCGGCAGGGGCGTCCAACTGCCCGGAAGGCCGCCGGGACTCCGAAAGGGCGTCCAGGGCGTTCGTTGGGTGGAGGGCAGGAGCGTCTGGGGTGTCCTGGGGGGGGGGTCCCGTCTAGGGGCGGGGGGGTCCGGGTAATAAGAATATATATATATATATATATATGTATATGTATATGTATGTATATACACCTATATATACATATACATACATACATACATACATACATACATACATACATACATACATACATACATACATACATAGATACATAGATACATAGATACATACATACATGCATACCTGCCTACCTACCTACCTACCTACCTACCTACCTACATACATCCATACATACATACATACATACATACATACATACGTACGTACATACATACATACATACATACATGTATACATACATACATACATACATACATACATACATACATGCATGCATACATACATACATACATACATACACACATACATACATACATGCATGCATACATACATACATACATACATACTTGCATACATACATACACACATACATACATACATACATACATACATACATACATACATACATACATATATATATATACATATATATTAGAAAGAGCGGCCTGGCCAGGAGCTGTGCAGGTGCATCGCCGGCGCACTCCGTGAGGCCTGGCCGGCTCCCGCCGCGCTCCCGCGCGGGCGCCAGCCTCCAACACCGCCTGGGCTGCCCAATGCAGCCCCATGTTCTGGGAACAAGGAAAGGCGACACCAACACCAGCAGAGAGAGGAGGTGCGAGGAGGCAAGGGGAGTCTGCCTGGTGGTGTGCTCCCCCCCTCTCGCTCGAGACAGCCCCAGCATCCAGCTCGGGGAGGCATCGTGGACGTCCTCGCTGGAGGTGGGCCCCCTGGTGGTGTTGGTATCGCTTCTCCTCCCTTCGAATTTTTGGGGCCAGTGCAGCCCCTTTTTTGGACTTTTCTGAGCCCTGAGATGCTGGCGCTGCAATGTTTTCACACAAGGCATTCTCGCTCAATCTCGGGCCACAGGACCATCACATATCGATCCGGCTCAAAAGGGATGCAGAAAGATTGAGTCCAGGACTCCGGTCGTGATTCTTTGCGATGTGGTCTATTTTCTGCAACGTCGGATAACAGGGAGTAGCGCCCGTGACTGGCCTCGCCACCCACCCCTCCCCTCCCTGGGGAGCCCAGCGTCAACTCGATCAATCGCATCGGCGATCGACATGAATGGGCTCGGCGGACATCGGCAGCCAAGTCGGAAGAAGTCGAATCGGCGGAAATCGGCAGGCTAATAAGACTTCCACTGAGAAGTCGACATCCATATCGGAATCCCAAGTCGACTCGACTCGGAAGCCATGGAAATCGAACCGAATCGAATCGTAGGAATGGAAAGGAGCCCTGCCTCTCGCCCCCAGATCCCCTCGCGTCGTAAAGTTATCACTGCGCAGAATTTTTCTCGATTCCCGGCATCTGGGGGCACACGCCGGTCCCTGGGACTGGCAAAAAGCAGCTCAGGATGAAAAGCACGTCCCAGGCGTCGCAGGGCGATCGGAGGGCCGTTCGCGGACGCTCGTTGTCGGTAGCACCGCTACCGAAAATTGATGCCGTCGCGAACGGTCACGACCGAACTGGGACCCCTACCGGTCGCGACCGTTCGCTACTGGATGTTGTCGGGATCTAGTAATATGGGTATGTCGAGACCTCATGGGGGTCAACGTTGTGAGCAAAAATCACGCCGTCGGGGATCTGGGCGTACCCCCTGGCCACGTCACCATTCGCGCCGGCGCCGCCTGGGAATGCTTAGAAAAGGCCGGGCTTGTCCGCGCGTTCCTCTCCTCCGCGCTCGCCCCGAGGCCAGCACGGGATGGCCGGGCGGCCCCGCCTCGGGCGTGGACTGACCCGCTTCGCCGTAACTCTGGCGCAGCCGCCAGTTCCGAAACAACTGCGCGGCAGTGTTGTGGGGGGCTTCCCAGACCCAGCTCAGCCAATTTACAAGGCCGCCTCGGGGCCACGAGCGGCCCCCCAAACTGGCTCAGCCCAAATCCGGCCGTGCCGGATCCTGCAGGATCTGCCGCTCTGGCTGGGCCCCGTTTGCGCTGAACCCCGTGACCTGCCTGCTGACCACCGCCAACGTGGGGCGGCAATGGAGCTCGCCGCGTAGTGGCGGTCGCGCGTGGTATGGGGCACGTTTTTCCTTTGTCGACCAGCCGTCGATTCGTCGGAGAGGCCCTGGGTCATCGGTCGACGCGCCTACGCGCGTAGAACCTGCGTTCTGCACCACAAGGTGTACCAACGCAAACGCCCATCGCAATGCTCTCTGCCTAAAGTATGTGAAACGGAACAACCAAAGCAAAGACTGTCCTGGACGACGCTGGACAAGGCGTCGACGGACTACTGAGCTGGCTGCAAGTCCAGCTAGCGTGTCTGCAGTCGGGCACTGGCACTAATAGTCATCGGCTGAGGAGCGTGCTGGAAGGATGAGAAATGGGTTTGGGGGGGATCCGTTGTTGTTGTTGACGGTCCTGGGGACCGACACAGGCCCCCAGAGACAGAAACAGATAAATTATCCCAGTGTGACCCTACCTAGGAGTTGGAGCATCTAGGAAAGCAGCATCTACATCTACACCGACAGCTACATTAATATCTACACATGCATCTACATCTACATCAACATCAACAGCGAGACTCACATCTACATCTACATCTACACCTACATGTACACCTACATCTACATCTACATCTGCACCTACATCCACATCTACACCTACACCTACATCTACATCTACATCTACATCTACACTTTTGCATTGGTTTTGCTTTTGCTTTGCATTGCCTTGCCTTCGCTTTTGCTTTTGCTTTGATTTTGTTTTTGCTTTGCCTCAGCACTGCTCGCGGCTCCTGCAAGAGCTGCAGGCTGTTCAGCACTGCTTGCAAGAGCTGCAGGCTGTTCAGCACTGCTCGCGGCTCCTGCAAGAACTGCCGGCTGTTCAGCACTGCAGGTCCGGTTTTGCGTTGCTTGTGCTTTGCTTTGCAATTGCTGCTGCTGCTTTGCCTTTGCTCTGCTGCTATGCTATGTTATGCTATGCTATGCTGCGCTATGCTATGCTATGCTATGCTATGCTATGCTTTGCTATGCTGCGCTATGCTGCGCTATGCTATGCTATGCTATGCTAGGGTACGCTCGGCTGCGCTGTGATATACTTGGCTATGCTATGCTATGCTATCATGCGCTATGCTATGATATGCCATGGTTTGCTGCGCTGTGCTATGCTATGCTGTGCTATGCTATGATATGTTATGCTGCGTTATGTTATGGCATGCTAGGCTATGTTATGATGTGCTATGCTGCGCTATGCTGTGCTATGCTGTGCTACGCTCTGTTATGATATGATATGCTGCGCTATGCTATGCTATGCTGTGCTATGCTATGATGCGCTATGCTATGATATGCTATGCTGTGCTATACTATGCTATGATATGCTGCGCTATGCTATGATATGCTCTGCTATGCTGCGCGATACTGTGCTATGAGATGCTGCGCTATACTATACTATGATATGCTATGCTGTGCTATGCTATGCTGCGCTTTGCTATGCTATGCTATGCTATGCTGTGCTATGCTATGCTATGCTATTCTAATGCTGCGCTAAGCTAACCTAAGCTGAACTAAGCTAAGCCAAGCTAGGCTAGGCTAAGCTAAGTTAAGCTAGGCTAAGCTAAGATGGGATAAGCAACGCTAAGGTAAAGGGGACGTAATTGGGGGAACCGCGGGGCGGATAATGGGGGAACCGCCCTGGGCAGTTTCCACTGCCCGGCCCCTTTAAGAACGAGAGTAAGAACCCTCTAGGCAGAGCCTAGGTCGGGAAATTGTATTGTTTTAAGCATGGGGCCCCAGATCGGGATTCAAAACAAACTCTTAAAGGGTTCTCTCTTGCAGCGGGATGCAATTCTTAAAGGGTTCTCTCTTGCAGCGGGATGCTGGGTATTGCGTTGGGGACGGAGGCTGTTGAATACCCGATATAGTGTTGGAGACGGACGCTGCTGAGTACTGGGTGTTGCGTTGAACGCGGAAGCACGGCGAACAGGCGGCGGTGATCGGGGGGGATCTGAACAGACCTCCTACGGATTAGAGGCGGACGCTGTTGAGCACTGGGTGTTGTGGTGAACGCGGAAACAAGGCAAACGGGCGGCGGGGGGCGGGCGGGCGGGCGGCGGGCGGACGGTCGGCTGGCGGATCGGAATTTGACCAGAACCCCAAAGGAGTTTCTCTTGCATCAGGATGCTGTTGAGTACTGGGTGTTGTGTTGGAGACGGGAACTGTCGAGCACTGGGTGTTGTCTTGGGGACGGACGCTGTTGAATACTGGGTGTTGTGTTGAACGCGAAGCCGGGCGGGCGGGCGGCGGGGGGCGGGTGGCGGTCGGGCGGGCGGCGGGCAGGCGCATTGGGAGTTTAGTACAACTACTAAGGATTCTTTCTCTCTTGCAGCGGGATGCTGTTGAGTACCAAGTGTTGCGTTGGAAACGGGGGCTGTTGAGTTCCCGGTAGTTAATGTGTTGGAGACGGACGCTATTGAGTACTGGGTGTTGTGTTCAACACGGAAGCACGGGTCTTCCGCCTCCTCCTCCTCCACCCCCTTACATGCAGGGCGTCTTTAAGCGTCTTCGAGGCCTGTAAGGGTTGGGTCGGGCATGTCCCCTACAGGCAGATTTTGGAAGAAGAAGTAACAGTGTGAAAAAAAACAAAAATCAAAATAGTCAAACAATCATCAAAAAATCGTCCCCAGACTATGTCGAAACTATTTTTGTATTTTCCTGCTGTGGGGGGACCCGCCCGACTTAGTGTTCGGGGCCGTTCGGAGTGCCTTGAGGGCTATGTTGGGCGCCTCTCAGCGGCCGTTTTGGAGCATCTTTTTGGGCCTTTCAGGGGCCTCTTGGGGGCCCTCCTGGGAGCCTCTTGGGGCGGGAGCCTCGGATGTTCGGTCTGTGCCCCCCCTCTGGGGATCCTCCTGGGGCCGTCTTCGGACCCTCTTGGGCCGTCTTGGGCGCCTCTTGGGCCGTCTTGGGCCGTCTTGGGCCAGCGTGGGGCGGTCTTGGGGGCCTTGGGCCGTCCTGGGGCGGTCTTGAGGGCCTCTCGGACCGTCTTGGAGCGTCTGGAACTCGAACAAGCCAAAAAACAGAGACCCCGCCCCCACAATACGGCGCTAGCGAAAGCGCGGCCTGCTGTAAGGCCGCGGGACGTGCCAGCCGCGAAGCGGTCAGAAGCGGGCCCTCAGAAGACGATGATGATGATGCCAGCTGCGCAGCTCTCTATTTGCTGCTGCGCTGGCCGCACGCTCCCGCCGGCGCTGTCGGCGCCAGGCGGACCCCTCTTTCCGCCACGCGAAGCGGGCCTCGCCGCGGTGCCTTCAGACACCGAGGCAAAGCCCAGGGTGGGCGGGCAAAAGAGGGCCCGTTGGGGCCTTGGAGGGCTTTGAGCCCCGAAGGCTCGAGCGGGAGAGAGGGAGAGGGAGGAGCAAGCAGAGGCAAGGGCAGGGAGAGAGAGGAAAACCCAAGCCGACTGGGGAGGGCGGGGCCCAACCGTTTAGGACAAACAACTAAGACCCCGCCCCCGCAGTACGGCGCCAGCGAAAGCGCGGCTTGCTGCAAGGCCGCGGGACGTGCCAGCCGCGAAGCGGTCAGAAGCGGGCCCTCAGAAGACGATGATGATGATGATGCCAGCTGCGCAGCTCTCTTTTTGCTGCTGCGCTGGCCGCACGCTCCCGCCGGCGCTGTCGGCGCCAGGCGGACCCCTCCTTCCGCCGCGCGAAGCGGGCCTCGCCGCCTTTGTTCTAGCGGTACTGGCGTCTGCTGCCAGTGACGCTGCACGCTGGTCTGGCGGGCCCTGCACGCCAGCATTGCTGCGTGGGCGCCATGGGTGGCGCCATCAAAATTTGGTGCCAGGCTCTGTGCAGCCAGCACCATCTAGACTCTGCGCGCAGCCGGGCGCGGGCGCCGGCGTGCGCGTGGGGCCCAACTGGCCCTCCTGCTGGCCGATCGCCGCCAGGCAGCTGATGCCGGCGTGCCCGGCTGTCCTCCATGAGGCTAGGCCGGGGCTCACGCTGGCGCACTGATTGCCGGCGGAGCCCGACCTCGGGCCAGGGCCCGAACTCGCCGCGGGTGGCGCCAGGCTGACGCCGGCGCCACGGTGTCCGCCGCGCGCGCTGCGGCCTCGCAGTTCCCCCGGCCCCCCGCCCCCCCCCCTGGGTGTCGGGGCGGGCGGGGTCCGGCCCCTGACAGAGGGGATTCCCCGGGCCAGCGCTGATGTGCAGGCCTGTACCCCGCGCATGAATTCTGGTGCCACGGGCTACGGGCCCAGCATGGCCCTTGTTCAGCAATTGCAGAGGGCGCCCACAGTATCCCAAGCACTAGCGGGGCCCGAAGCGGGCAAGCCCGCGCGCGCATGACAGCGCGAGAGTATTGGCCAGTGCTGGAGGCACGGGCTGGGGATGTCCTGCGGACGCGCGGCTGGCATGCTGGCGGCGCGGGTGGTGGTTGAGTTGCAGCATCCAAGCGCGCGCGGCGGTCAGGCCGGCGGCTTGGGCTGGGCGCGCGCCAGGTGCACCTGCACCGGCGGCGCCCGCCGCGGCCCCTCGTCATGGGCTCTCACGCCTGGCGCTCTCGGCGCCGGCGGCGGCCCTGGCGGGGGCGCTGTCCTTCGCCGGGTTGGTCAGCGAGGAGGTGCCCCTGGCCATCTTGCTGGAGACGCCCATCATCGGCTCGTGCGACTCCCACAGGTAGCCGTGGAACGCGTCTGACTGCCAGCGCCCGAACCGGCGCACCCGAGGTCTTCTGTCACGTGGTACATCGCGGTCGCTCCGCCGATCCTCATGGAGCGGCTGCCGATCTCCTCCCTGGAGAGCCCGGCGGCCAGCCCCGCGACTGTCAGGAAGTGCTGCACCTCGGCCCTGCGAACCGGGGTACCTGACGCCCAGCGGAAAATAGGCAGCCGTTCTTCGGTGCCCTTTATCCGCTGGGGATGGTGAGCCTGGAGCCGCTCCATCGCCGCGATCGGACAGAGCGTCGTGCCGGCGCGGTAGTGGTTCCTCACCGTCCCGACGTTGAGCTGGTCCGTCTTGCTGCCCTTGATGTAGATCACCATCTCGTCGGCGTCCCGGAAGCTGGGCACGCGTTTGCCGGCCTTCCTGGGCTCTACGTCCTCCCCGTGCAGTGCGCGCTCGAAGGACCACGAGCGCCCGTCCTGGAGGAGGTACTCTGAGGCCCGCAGGAGGAAGAAGAACGCCGTCACGATCGCCGCCCAGACGACCACTGTGTCCTCCTCGGGGAGCTTGGCCCCCTGCTGGAGGAAGCCGCGGAGCCACTCGAACATGGCTGGAGTGACGGGTTTCTTCCGCTTGGTCCCGGGTCCTTGCCAGCGTTTGAGCCCCGCCAGGGTGCTCCAGAGGCGACCCCTGTGGAGCAGGGGGTCTGAGTAGCCAGCCACCAGGTGAGCGTAGCGCACCGCAAAGAGCTTCTGCTTGATGGTCCCTTCCGTCCTCCCGACGACCCGCGCGAGAAGGACGGCGAAGTTGACGGGCGCCTCCTCATCGGCTAGGCGTTCCTCGCGGTCGCGCCCTGGGAGCCAAGGGCTAAGCCCCTGCGCCTGGCGCACGGCTACCCAGAGCCGCCATCCCCCTTCGTAGCCCGCTCTGGTGCCTTCGCTGAGTTTTTGCAGCATGGCCTCCATCTTCTGCTGCGCGAACCAGCTGGCGTAGCTGGCCCCGCCTGGCTCAGCTCGGCCGGCGGGGGCGAGCTCCTTCCCGGGGTTGTTGCTCTTCCTCGCGATGCCCAGCGCCTGCGGCTTCACCAGGTTGGCAGCCGGCGTCTCCTTTGCTCGTCGAGGGCTCTTCTTGCGTGGGCTCTTCGAGCGGGTCACTCGCTTGTCCAGCTTGGCCTCCTCTGCGGCTGGGGCCTCGCGAGGTCCGATGATCGCGTCCTCGTCGATCTCCTGGAACCGGATCGCCTGGGCACGCCGGCGATTCTTGTGCATCTCGTCGGTGAGTGCGCCGCCTGCCCTTGCCTCGTCGTCCGCCGCCAGCGCGAGCGTGGGTCGATCCGGCGCTTGCGCCCAAGCACGGAACCAGCGCTTGGTGGCCTCCCACGCGGCCTGCTCCTCTGGGTCATGGCATACTCCAGCGCGTTGCGTGCTTGTGCTGCCGAGGGCCTCCGCCACTGCGACCAGCACCGCCTCTGCGGTCCTCGGTGGGAGGGCTCTGGCTGCGCCCTTCAGGAGCTCATCCTCCGTGGAGCCCTGGGCCTGCAGGCTGGCCCACTCGTCGTCGGTCCCCCCTTGCACCCTCCAAACCTCTCGGGGTGTCAAGGCTCGGACCGTTCCTTCGCCTCGCCCTGTGACCCGGAGGAGCGTGGCACCTGGGCCTTGGGGTCCTGTCCCGGGCCAACGGATGGTGCCCACGGGCCCCTCTTCGCTGTAGAACAGGTGCTTCGCCCCGTCCTTCTTGAGGTGGCCGACCGGCTTGAGGAGGAGAGGGTCGCTGGTGGACTGGATGCGGGGGTCCCACGACACCTCGCCTTGCTGGTCGAGCCAAAGGTGGTCCCTTCCTTTGTCCAAAAGCGGCCTGATGCCGGCAGCCCGCGAGCAGGCTGGCGGCATGCTAATGCTCGCCAGGCCTGATCCCGTCTTCCGGCGTCCGCCTGTGAGCACCTGCCTGGCCCACGTAGTGGTATCCCCGTGGTGCGTGCAGATTACTTTGAACTTCACGACCACGTAGCCCAGCTGCTTGAGCGCCTTCTCGAGCCTGGCCGTGTCCACGCCGTTCGGGGCGTCCACGATCACTACTTCGGGGCTCTCGCTGGTCGCTGCAACGAGGAACGCCTCCATCTCTCGGCCCTTGGGGTCCAGGGACAGCGATGCCATGAGCCAGTCTGCCTTCTGGTTTTCCCCCGGCTCTGTCCCACCAAGGCGTTTGAGGGCCTTCACGTAGGGGTTGAGGAGGCTCCCCACCTGTCTGCCCAGCTTCCCGTGGAGTGGGAGGGGTCTTGGCGGCCCATGCCCCCTCTGGAGCGCTCGGTGTTGCAGGGCGGCCTCGGCCACTGGGCCCGTCTCCCCTGGGAGGCGGAGGAGGCGTTCCTTGGCGTCCTCCAGGATCTGGCCCCAAGCTGCAGGGGGCTCGAGGCGCTCCCATCCCTCGGTGGCCAGCGTATCGTGAACCTTCTTGACCTCCTCGCGGGTGAGCCAGTCGGCCACCTCGTTGTGGTAGGTCCGAACGAAGAAGGAGGTGATGCGGCATCCGTGCATGGCTTCGATCCGCTCCACTAGGCGAATCAGGTGGCGTGCGAGGGTATTATTGGGGCTCCTCTTGGTGAGCCACGCTTTCACGTTCTGATTGTCCGTGACGTAGAAGACCAGCTCACCCTCCCACTTCGGGCCCTGCTTCGTAGCCAGCGCGACCACTGCCAACAGTTCGACCACTGCGATGATCCAGTCCTCCTCGCTGCTCTCCCCCCCGACCGCCTGGCTCAAGGCCTCGAGCAGGGGCTTGGCGTCCGCGGCCATGTACTCCGGCGTGGGTGGGGCTCCTTCTGCAGTTGCACGACCCCAGTCGATGGCGCCGATCGACGAGGTGGTGGCGTTGCCGCCGGTCCATCTCGAAGCGCGTGCTGTCCCCGGCAACGCGAGGCGCTCACGCACGGAGAGCGCCTGCGTGAAACTCGCCTGGAAGGTCGTGCTCCAAGCCTCGGGGACGTCGAAGAGCATCCTCAGGAAGCTCACGGAGGCGTCCCACTCTTCCCAGGCGAGCTCGACCTCTGCGGGGGTACCTTTTGGCTCTGCCCAGCTCGTCCCGCTGCTCAAGAGCCGGTCCAGGGCTGGTAGCTCAGGGCGGAGGGCAGGTTGCGCGGACGCCCAGAACTGAGCACAGCCTCGCAGCTCTTGGGCGACCTTTAGCGGTACCCGCCGTGATCCTCTGAGCTCTGGGAGGGCGAGCAGGTACTGGGCCTTGATGCACGTAGGCTCCGGGGGCCTGACCACCTTCGTGTTGAAGTTCATGTGGAGGCCCCAGATCAGCTGCTCGGCGGCGAACCCCCCCTCGACGTCCAGCTTTTCCTCGTTGACCGCGTCCGGGCCCCAGACCCGCTTCATGGCCCCGTCGAGCTCCTCGGCCGAGAGCCAGGGCCTGAGGCCCACCAGGGGTTCGAGGACAACGCCGTCGTCCATCAACCACTTG